TTCGTCTTCGGCGGTGGTAACTGCATTCTTGTGTTCCGTGATAACTGAAGTTCATTGACACGTTGATAATTAAAACAAAGCGATTACGATCGGATACGCAGAGATGGTTTGTAATAAGGTCCTTTAAAAAAAGTCGATAAAACTATTTTTACAACTAATCGTGTTGTATTTGCGGCATTGTTTAACTAATACCTACATGGCTACAATTCTTGAAGAATTTATTAAGGTAATTACCATCATTATGAATAACAAGTTTACCAACAAAGATTACGACGCCTTAAGCGAGGAAATAGCTTATACAAGATCGCAAGTGATACAAAGTTGTAGGATTTAATTGCAACAGCAATATTTCAGTCGGTTTGCGGTGCGGTAAATACATAAATACTTTAAAAGCAAAGCAGCGTTGCGACGTTAGCGGACACCTAAAATACTCGTCTTCGATACGACGATCAATAAATTAAAATTAATTCGGCGTGCGAACGGCGAGATCCGATACACGATACCGACGCCTACATTTATCATTCGCTAACACGTCGGACATTTCACAGGAGGAACCGGCCGAAGAAACGTGGCCCTTATGACGAGACGCGCAAAGGTCACGCCGATGACGATGATCAAGCACGTAATGATCTATCGCGGGAACAAAGGATAACACATTTAAAGACAATACGCGGAAGGGATAAGTTGGCTTGAGCAGTGGACGCTCTGAAGGCGTCGGTACACGCGCGAGTACGTCGCTCGCATGCGGATGCGGCTGATGTCACGCCGTGCAAATAAACCGTCGCAGACTTGCCGACGCTGTCAGCATGGCCTTGACGCGGGAAAGTTCATTTGCTAACCATCATCTTTTAGTCGCGACCAGCTTATATGTTTAGAACATGTAAAACTTACCCCACACCCCTGATGGGAGGGTTACTATGGTCCTGTATGTAATGCGTCACGCTGTGATCGGCACAAGCGTAAGTTATTACGCATACACCAGTTACGCGGCGGTTTCAACCGAAAGGGGCAATTTTCGCCGCGAGCTGAGGAACACAAAAATGAGGGAAGTCAACTTTCGTATGAACCACGCCCGATGCGTTTGTAAAATATGCGAGGGGCGTGTTAATGGAATCAATGGATTATATTTCGGTCCTTTGAAAACAATTTAGGCAATTTGTGGAGGTTCTAGTGGAAGTTTTTAAATGTAACTTTGTTAGCTGATTGCATTAGCTTAAGAAACACTATCTTGTAATGTTCTCTAGAAAAGCTATAAATTTTCGTAAGATATCTTTGTAAATTCACATTGAACACTGTTTTTCTTAATTTTCATTAATAAGGGTTATTGATAGGTGGTATTAGTCCATCTAATGATAAGTGGCTATCGTTGCTTTTTTTTGCTACGTAAGCTGATAGCCTTGAGAGGCTATTTCAGCGTAACCTTAACTAGTAGGTGAGCTCACGGGGCTCAAGCCGGAGTGATGCTAACACTGACCCTAGCCAGAGCAGTACTTCGCAGAATCTACCATCGAATCGGAAACGCGACCCACTGAGAAGATTCGGCGAGAAACTCAGTGGGCTGTGTCTATGGGCTAAAATCGTTGCTAGTGAACAACAGTAATGCGAGGACAAAGTCAAAGCGCTGCCTTTTGCTATTCTGCTAAAAACTTTTGAATTCAGAATCGGATGAATATATGTACGTATGTACAATATATAAACTCAACATTTGGTTTTTTAAATAATAATAAAATAATAGTAACAAAACTTTGACAAAACCGTTAAAATATGTAAACAAAACGGGCGTTAGTGCATTTTAACAGCACTTGCAGTACCCTGTGGCGATCATGATAAGATCTCGGAATCGCATCTGCCGGGCTGTAGGACGAGGGCAAGGGCTGGGGTTCAATTCCGGTGTTCCGACGCCTCGTTGTGGGAACCTCTAATACATAAATTGGTTTGTGATTTCTTGTTTACGTAGTGAAATTTAATTTATGAATCATTTCGTTCGCTTTTGTGCTGTATACATTGACGAGTTCGAAATTTGAAACATTTTAAATTTAAATTTGTTTATGTTTTGGGTAGCTTTAGTAAAATATGACACTCTCAGTTCATTTTCGTCTTTTATTTCCTATTAGTTTTGTAAATAGAAGACATAAAGCTCAATCACGATCAGGGCATAATGATATATAAGCTACGTACGCATCTACTACAATGACCAAAGCATACACAGCCCTCTAATGAATAAAAAGCACCGGTGGCCGGCTGGTACCAAGGTACAATTCTCTGCAGGCTTAGGGATACGCTGCCGAAGGGAGGGTTGTAAGCTGTCGCTTCGAAGCCCCCGTTTTTGTGTGTCGTGGTAGGAGGGCAGGTAGGGCATGTGGCGAGATGGCGCGATAACACGAATTATTCATACGCGTTATCGGCCCGCCATCGCGGAGCTATTGTGAACGCGGCCTAACGCGCGAGGGGTGGCTCCCGGCTGTCGCAGGCGCTGTCAAAACGTTGTTGTGTACTCGGCTTAATGTGACGATATTACAGATTGTTTTAGTTCATAAAGACATAATTATAGTTCATTTTGTCCGGCTGACACGTATACGTATTCTAGATAGTAGCAAAATTTATAAAGCAAATTAATAAATATCTCATGTCTGTTATGTATAAAAAAAAACAACAATTTATTATCTATTGATATTATTGTGTTTATAGTCTATATAATCGAACGTACAAAAGAACGGATTTCTGTTAAAACACAATAAAAGACCAAAAACTTAATTAACATAGTTTCGACATTCGCAAAGTTCATTCCCCCCCACTAGGGCCGTGACTAGATCGAGTACGGGTGCCCTTGTGATAACGATCTGATGTAATCTCAAACTGCGATCGACACCTGGCTCTTGTATGCGGGCTAGTATCGATATATATCGGCACAGTGACGAATCCATTGAAGCGGTATCGATAGTAAGGTCAAGGATATTACGATTTGTTTTAACTAACTGGTATTCAGACGCCTAACACAATAGGCTTAATTAGTAACGAATACGCAAGTGTACTGCCATAATATCTATGATTGCATTGTTATTCTGAAACTCACTTGTTGTTGTGTAATTGTATAATACTAAAACGTTACTTCACGTTTAATTACGTCTATACTGCTTAAATAGTTTTAATTGCATTAAAAAATATCAATAAGTATTAATTGAAAATATTTTTACGATTTTTAAGTTGGTGTCGTGTTTTGTAATTTTATTATTTCCAACTTTTTTTTTTTACCTAACCTGGTAGCGTAAGGGGCTATTCTAGCTACACTCGGTCTGTTAGGTGAGCTCACGGGTTCAACCTGAGTGAATTGCTAACACTAGCCAGCTAAGCAAGAGCAGTGCTTCGCTGAATCTACCACCGGATCAAAATGGCGACCCACTGAGAAGATAGGCTTGATTTGGTAGGCAGCGGCTTGGCTCTGCCCCTGGCATTGCTGAAGTCCATGGGCGACGGTAACCACTCACCATCAGGTGGGCCGTATGCTCGTCTGCCTACAAGGGCAATAAAAAAAAAAGATCCGGCGAGAAACTCAGTGGGTTGATTTTCCAACGTTTCGATAACTTTACAGTTTTCGTGGGACTTTTTTTTTTTAAACCTATGCTGATAGCCTTGAGAGGCTATTTGAGCTTCACCTTAACGTGTGTAGGTGAGCTCACGGGGCTCAAACCGGAGTGTTGCTAACACTGACCCTAGCAAGAGCTAGAATCTACCACCGGATCGGAAACGCGACCCACTGAGAAGATCCGGCGAGAAACTCAGTGGGCTCGTGGTACTGACATCGGTTTAGCAACACCGCTACGAAACCGCGAGATTAAGCCGTAAAATTAGTTTTAATTATACGCCTACGCCTCAATAAAACCGAAGAAAATACTATCAATAAGTAAGTCTATAAGTGCTGTGGTCTACTGAATAACATGCCCGGTGCATTCATATTTAGTGATGTGAAAGTTTTTCGCTTATGTCGCATTAATATATTACTACTAATCTATATAGTCTTTATTCTACGTCTTAAGCCCCTATTTAACCAATATAATATTCGAATTCAATCAAATTGAATTTACATTAAAGTTAAACACTAATAATTAGATACCCACAGCGCTCTACGGGAAATACTTCCGTAACGTACTCCCTGTAGCTGTACCACCGGGAATACGGCAAAGGGATGCGCCCTAAGCCTATTCGCCCAATCCACGAACAGAATTACGGCCACTCAAATAACAATCGTCCCGAAAAATACACGCGCACATATGCTGGCTTTCATTCGTTCATGTAAATAACAATCGTCGAGTGTAGTTTGTGAATTTAAAAGGGGGAAAACGAGTGAGCTGTACTCATATTTGTACTCACGAGTAGAGCGACCGAGCACATTACTAATGTCACAAAGCAGATGTCACTTCGCTGCCCCGCTATTGTGTAGGCCCTTAATGAAATAAATAAACTCGCTCAATCAAAACGTGTAAACGTACAAAAACATTTTAACGGTGTGTACCATCAAACTGACACGGCTGTGTACATAATTAATGAAATTTCCAGTTGGCCTACTATTTTAATTGGTCGGTGTTGTGTTGCGTTCGTTTTGAAATATTTCGGAAAAGTAAGGTCTTTTGTTCACGGACGCATCCATTGAGACTTGGCCACGGAGCTCCATTATATGTTTATCAAATACCCATTAGAGCTGAGAATATTCATAGACACTATCATGATAAGTGGCTCTACGAATGAAGATGTCGTGTGAAAAGCCCAGTTGTTAACTACAAATGATATTAATTTCGGAAAGCGCGGCCGAGGTAACCGAACGCGTTCCGAATCTACATAATGACAATAAGTTTTGATATTTTGTAGCGTTACAATAGAGCCCTGTTATCGGTGTATCTTTGTCGGCCACGAAAATAGCCTCTTAGAGGCTTGAACGAATTGAAGATGTTTACGGATTCGTAGAGATACTAAGGATGATGATTAAAGGTTTCTTTTGTCCGCAGGTCGAACGCTAAGCGGTAGCAGTGGGCAGGTGTGTCGGCCTCACTTCCATACGCCGCTGCATCCCTGGCTCGAGTCTAAGGCGCTGGGGAGCGGGGCGTGGGGAGGGGGCTTCCAACAAGATGGTTCCTCAGGCGACAAACCGCTGTCACCAGCACAACACCCTCATCCCCATCCTTTGTTTTCATTTCCTCCGACTCCTCCGAAAGACTCGACGCCGGACTCTGTGGCTGCGGCGGCTCTCGGTCAACAGGACTACCAGGCCGCGGTAGCGCATGCCACAGCGATGAGCGTCGCCTTCATGCAGCAACAACAAGAGCTGCCCCTCTGCGGAGACGTCAAACCAATGATGGGCGCGCCGCCTTCCAAGCAGCGCGAAGGTGCGCAACCGGACTCTTGCGCTCAGGACACGAGTCAACCCTCCGGGGAATACAACGCTCAGTACAATGCCGCCGGCGGCGACTACTACAACTATCAGGGGAAAGGTTATAGCGGAGCGCAGCAGCAGAACAAGCCGCGACCGAACAAGACGCGAACTAGCGCCGGTGAGCCCACGGGGACCGATCATGATATGCACAGTACTCGCTGCGATGCACACGACACTGTCTCACGAAATACCTACCCGTTTATCCGATCACAGCGGTGCCTTTGCTCAACGTGCCATCGTGGCTTCGTATGGTTCTAAACAGTTCGTAATAGATATAACTTTCGCTTGATGACTAGTTCGATAAAATATTAATTAATTAATGAATCGAAAAGTCTGAAAGCCGGGTTCGATGGCTAATCGCAGTTACGAGACGGCTGCTAAGGTGTGCTCGTGATTACGATTTCACTAAGGGAATTGTCATATCGACTTAGATATTTGATAGATCAAGAGATATTGTAAATTCATTTAGTATTTCTGAACAGAATTCTGGTAGCTTGGCGGAGCGAGATGTGATCGGATAAACGTAGTTCTTGCACAGAGGTTGTGGCGCCACAGGTTTCCATCTAACAACAATAACACGGTGTGGAGCATCGCGCTTGAATTCACCGTTAACTGATGCTTCATGATTTAACTAATCGTATCGGTGGAGGTTTACTAACTTTACTCTTTTCACAGCGGCGAGCAGCCACTAAAGAAACCGGTCCTCTTAATCGCGATGAAAACGGTTAGGCGAAATTAATTTGAAAGAGTTAAATGGTTTCCAAATCATGTAAGCTTTATCTAAGATGATAGATAAAGAGTAGGAAGTAGATAGGATGCACAATTAGCAAGTCACTGCTCGCGGTGGTGGCTGGCCGAGGCGACTCGCATTGTCTCCCCTCATGTGAACTCACGCGGCCTTTCAGATGTTGACTAAACAAACTCGACGTTTCTCATTATTTAATTGCGACTCCTATTGTCTAAGACTATAATTAGACAAAAGCTTTTAAGTAGATTTCTAATAAATTTACCAAATTAACTTTGTAACAAAGTTACCGTTCTTCATCTCATTTTAAGAAATTAATTTAAGTATAATGCTTTGTGTAACAAATAGAAACACACACGTGTGTATTTTGCATAATTTTGAAATCATTATGTAAAACTCTGTGAATGTTAAAGTAAAATAAAAGTATAAATAGGAAGGCAGAGATTTATGTTCAGACTAAATTCATAAACAATAGTGCAAATCTCAGTGGACTGGAGTTACCGTAAATGCATGTTCTAACCTTTATTGGGTATTGTTTCAAATGCTCCGCTCTAAGTTTTCGCAACAATCCACGCCTCACACAATTCATGAAGAATTACTAAACTTTAATGGTAACAAACAATATAAGGTTTTATTTTAAATTTATCGAAACTCAAATCATAACTTGAAAATGCCACTTTGGAATATAGCATGAGAGAAGGGTGCGTTTTTCAAATTAAAATCGAATACCGACTCTATGGCTCTGATACCCAGACTTAAAAGTATAGGTAATCATTTTAACACGCTTCGTCATTAAGTTTTATAATTTTACGGGAACTGCGATGGCGGGCTATTGTCTCTTTAAATTTGAATGTGAATTTAGGTGATTATAAAGAATGAGTGTTAATGTAACAAAGTTACGGTTGTTATTGTGTTAACCAGATTTTGGGGATAGCTAATTGATAAGTTGAATCATTAAAGAAATTCGTCCACGTCTCTGACATTACACAGAAATCAATTCGATAGAAACGGCAGAACGACATATGGGAGAATGAAGTACCCGATCCTGTAGACCGAATGGTAAACAGTCGACGTCGCCCAAAGCACGTCCGGCGGTAGATTCTGCGAAGCACTACTCTTGCTAGGGTCAGTGTTAGCAACACTCCGGTTTGAGCCCCGTGAGCTCACCTACACACGTTAGGGTGAAGCTGAAATAGTCTCTCAAGGCTACCAGCATAGGTAGGAAAAAAAAGAGAATGAAGTAATTATTCCAAAAGTAAATTTTGAAAAATTGTTGAGAGCAATTATAGACTTGAATAATTACAAACAATGAATGCACTTCCAGAAGCACCTGTTCACGGAAGGGGTATAGTGGATCACTTACCTAAAGATAGTTCGTTCGCTGAATGAAATAATAAACGCTGTAAATTAAGACGTTAAAAGCGCTAAAGTACTCGTTGTTTTCGTCAAAAAAAAACTTGTAGAAACGACTACTACACCATTAAGTAATTAAGCATAGTAAGAATTATAGAGAATTCAATGAGCGCGATCAGTATCGCTAAATTAATTATATGGTAGCGTAAAAACATACTTAAATTTATTAGTATAAATTGAATGAAAAAATCGGTAATAACATAGTAAGTTCTCAAAAATATTCCTATGAGTACCTAAACCTAAAAGAACAACATAAAATGTAACGCAGATTCTTTTTGTCGGCGTCAACATGTACATATTGTTGATAAGACTTCCAGGTGATAACTATTTAGTTCATTGCCAGATTAATTTTTACTACCTACGTCACGTCTGGTGGGAAATGTTCTTCTGTTTTTGATTTTTAAATAGCGTATTTAAAGTCTTTGTTGTTTCCGCGTAGTGAAAGAATCGGATAGATGCGATAGAAATAGGCAGAATATTAGTAAGGATTGTAAACTACTAGTACTCAAGGTTCCTACCTTAGGAGAAGGACTAAACTATGGATTGATGACTGCAGTCATTAGCTCCAAGAGCTTGGAGTCCGTATGTTCTATATCTATAGCTAAATATTTAATTTGTCTGAATAAATCTAGCTGTACAGTTTGACGAATATCGGTGAGCTGGACCAGTATTGAGAAAAATCCAAATTCGATATCTTCAATACTAAAAATGAACTACTGTTATTTACAATTTCTATATCAAATAAGTTACGATTAGCGCAATGCAACGCATCGTTAAGTTATGAAACGAGTTATCTTTAAGTACACCGCGTAAAAACTGCCCCCACCGGTCTGCGAGTTGTTGTACAGTATTCACAAGTAATTGTTAATTACCCGTTGCTGTTTATTAAATTAGACCGAAATTGCTTTAATTTGTCAACATCTGAAATTACCATCGAGGTATTTAGTTTACAAAAGACAGTTTTTATAGTTAAAGACATCAAGATATTTTTTATATTTTATTTTTTTATTGCTTAGATGGGTGGGCGAGGTCACAGCCCACCTGGTGTTTAGTGGTTACTGGAGCCCATAGACATCTACAACGTAAATGCGCCACCCACCTTGAGATATAAGTTCTAAGGTCTCAGTATAGTTACAACGGATGCTTCACCCTTCAAACCGAAACGCATTACTGCTTCACGACAGAAATGGGCAGGGCGGTCGTACCTACCCGTGCAGACTCACAAGAGATCCTTCCACCAGCTAACTGTAGATACTAATAATTAGACACAATTTTTGACGTGATCAGAAATAAAGTTATATCTGTGGCGTTTTTGAAAGGCCTGTTGAGAACATAGCTATTGATAGCAGCTCATCTTCCATTGCTACTGTCTCTGAAAATAATAACAACCTAGAGGCTAGTCCAACCACTCATCTTAAGGTACGGTAGGTGGAAATATGATTTACATTGGAAGAACGAAGATTCTACGCTTCGAACCTATGATTTCTTTGCGCAGATATATCCCACTAACGCATGTGGCTTTAAAACATACTCACGGTAGTAAAAATATCTGAATAGTATTTGGCTTGTCTACTTGCTTCCGAAAATCAAATGAGGGCAATTTAAAATCGACCATTCAAAGTGTTGGATCAGTTTATCTGGTTGAGCTAGTTCCTTGGTGGAGGCATTATGGTAATACGAGGCCGGATGCGGACCATTCCATTGTTGGCAACTGTTCGCTTGACCTCGAGCTGCTATACTGCAAATATAAAAAGTAACACAGACAAGAATTATTAATACACGATTTAGTTTCTCTTGCAATTGCACTATTCACATGTCGACGATTAATAAGTTAACAATAGTAACAAATAATTACATAAAAAGATGATAAGTAGCAAATAATATTTAAATTGTAAAAAAATATTCCTTTGAAACTTTCAATGACATATAATTAACAGAGCATGTTAATAAAATATTATTTAATTTTTTAATCCATGATACGTTTAAGATTAAAACTAAAATGACTATTATTTCCTTCAGATTTACTACTAGAGTCAAACCAAATATCACTGTTTTCAATAGGATTTAATATAAACTAATAGTTCACACTACGTCAGTTTCCCAAAAAAAAATATTTTAAAATAAAACTCTGTTAATGCATTTCGTTACAAAAACGAGGAATTTAATAATTCAACCCACTAATGACGTAGAGAAATAGTGATCTTTCATATTTAGTTATTTGAAAAATGTCAAGCAAAAGGGCACTAATAAACCTACTGTACAACTGATAGCTATTGTTAGATTGTACATAATACATACTTGTTTCCATTCAACACTTTCTAAAACAATGTAACGCTCACTGAGCCGTATTCAAATTATTCATTGCTCTGTGTTCTATAATAATTTGATTGTCATAACGAACGTAAATCATTGTTTCTTATTACATACCCGGTAAAGGTCAAAATGCATTGTTTTACCGGGATTTAAAAAATATTTGTATACCATTCACGTATTGTGTTGCAGAAACCGCGACGTGGCGAGTTGTGCAACCAATTAGATGTATAGTGATGATTCCGATATGGACTGCTGCATTATAAGAGTACAGTTTATATTCTTTGTGAATTACCACAGTTAGATATTGCTTTATTTACAAATGAAATTGCATTATTCATTACCAAATTGCTCGAATAAAGGCGAGTGCGAAATTTACACTTTCATATAACGCGTATTTCGTTGAAATGTTTTGGAGTCTTTCGAAACAAGCTGCTAATGAATATTTTCGTGGCGAGCACACAAACAGTGATTAGGCGTAGTAGAATCCGACACGGTCTGCTCGCCATCGTTGTTGGATACAATTGCATCAATTGAAATTTGCATTTTATAAGGACATCCTTGGTATTAATGTTAATTGCTGAATTAAATAAAGAACAAAACTTGTTGTATTGTTGTATATTGCTTCTGTATTTATAGAGGTCAATTCGTCTTCACATAAAAACTTCGATTTAAATATACAATTTTTGTACAAACAAAAAAAAAAAACATTCTGGCAACACTTTAAAATTATTTCTAAAGGCAATTTGAATAATAATGGTTTTTATTTTAAATAACTTATATTTTGTAAACTTTGGATTCACGGTTGCTTCAGTTCATTAAGGTGCAATTGTTGGTACATTAATTCTTCTCCAATTATTGTCCAAAGGTTTCCATTTTTTTGCCGACCAGATCCGTGTACTATCTCTATGATTTAGTCTACTCATGATTAAAAGGGTCTTCTCTTTTTGCGTTGTATATTTGGACTAAGATATAATAACTTCAATTTTTATGACATTTTCTTCGTAGTTGATCATTTTGGAAGTAATCAGCGTGACATTAATAGAGTTATTTACTATTTTAATTAGATGGGTTAAGAACAAGTTGCAACCGAGTGGCTTCACATCGCCCGTCACAGTAATTATATCCCTCAGTATGTTAATAATAAATGCAAATATGAGCTCTGAATGAAGTCAGGTCGGGCCGCCGAGTTCGATGCAAATTGGCGCAAGCGCCGTGAAGAAGGCACGAGTTTATTAGGAATAATTTATTTATATAAATTTGAAACGAATAGACCATAAAAACATAAGTATGACATATACCTTCAGTGTATTTAAATGTACTCAATAAAATTAAACTAACGTTAGAACATCGGCTACCATTAAAATACGTATTTGCATACCGACGTGTAATTACAGCGTAATAACAGTGTATGTGGCGTAACAAAGAATAAGTTTTGAGCAATAATTTAATGGTTTGTATGCAAAATAGCCTCACCGTTACGTGTTGATAGGCGGATGCGTCGAGAGCTCGGGAGAGTCGTCACGGTACGCGAGACCGATTAGTCCTTCATTCGTATTACATTATTCTGCATTCGCTTTAATGTAATTATGAAACTCCCGGTGAAAGTCCTCGCCGAATCCGTCGTGTGCGACGAAGGGCTCGACGAGTAAATTAACCCATAGACACAGCCCACTGAGTTTCTCGCCGAATCTTCTCAGTGGGTTGCGTTTCCGATCCGGTGGTAGATTCTGCGAAATACTGCTCTTGCTAGGGCTAGCAACACTCCCAATTTGAGGCCCGTGAGCTCACCTACACGTCAAGCAGAAGCTGAAATAGCCTCTCAAGGCTATCAGCATAGATAGGAAAAACGAAACTAATATTCCACTATGATGGCTAGGACCTCTTGTGAGTCCGCGCGGGTAGGTACCACCGCCCTACCTATTTCTGCCATGAAGCAGTAATGCGTTTCGGTCTGAAGGGTAGGGCAGCCGTTGTAACTGTACTGAGATCTTAGAACTTATATCTCAAGGTGGGTGGCGCATTTACGTTGTAGTTGGGCTCCAGTAACCACTTAACACCAGGTGGGCTGAGAGCTCGTCCATCCATCTAAGCAATAAAAAAAAATAAAAAAATCGCATTTAATTTTTTAACAGAAACATGTCGATGAGAATGACTTTTCTCTATAAGAGTTTGCACTCTCGGCTAATTGAAGCACTGCAGGGGTTAGATGTTTTCCCGTACGGCCGTGTGAAAACTTTCCGAGGTTCTCGACGCGAACCCCGAGTGTGCTCGCCTTGAGACTCTCAAAATATAAAAACCGCCCACTCGGCTCTGTAAATATGGCAGATGAAAATCTTTTATCGCGGTCACGTAGCGCCGTCGCGTCACGAGCGCACGTCACTCCGGGCAATAAAGACCGAGCCGCATTCTAATTTTGAACAAACATTTGTAATCTTTCGCTAAACCATCACTGTATTTCATAGTACAGAGGGAGGGCACTGTTGCTGGCAGCTTACTTTTATAGATAGTACTAAAACATATCTTTATTAGTGGTCGGAATCACGTCTAGTCAAAGAATACTGCGGGTAGTTTGAAAAGAGCTCGCAGTGTGAACGAATTAAAACATTACGATGGAAACCGGATCGGACAATTAAATCGTACGGTAATTAATCAGTGACGCTGTTCTCTGTAATAATAAGTGTAATATCGACATGCGTACGAGGGGGCAGGCGGTTGTAAATCTTATGAAACGTCTCCGCCCGCGGCACCACCGACTTTCACAAACGTATTTACCAATAGAGACGTTACTATTACGCCGAATGACTCTCAAAAACCGGAGACACGATCATAAAACTCCGTGGCTCGTGTAATATCCTGTTATTTTTTCATAATAATCGTTATTGGTGTTTATTTATTACAAAACTTCGGAACAAATTACAGGTTTTATCGATGCAACAAAAAAAAAATACTAAAGGGTTAGAGACCAAAAAGTGAGTCGTCCGGTCGATCGCAATAAGTTTTCGATAAAGTCCGGGCGATTTAATTGCCGGTTTTGATCTGGTTTTACATAAAAAAGATGAATGGCCGCACTGCCTAAAGCCCGTAAAACGTTTTCGGTTCGTTTAACTTATTTTTTTAATATTCGACCACTTTCACTTTCGTCGGGTTGGCTCGCGGTGTTATCCCTCTGCCGTCATTATTTATTCAATGCATCGCTGCTTCTATCAGGGGACTCCGACGCTCCGATCTAGATACATGTTATTATTATGATATTAATGTCTATCGGTACACATATCGATCCGATAGTATCTGCGAGTCGGTGTTTGCCGTAAATATGAATAATGCAGAGACATCACACATGCGCGTGTCAGGTTGTGAAATGTTCGCTCACATTCCCACGATGGTTCCAGCAAATGTTAGTTAGTATTTAAAAAGAGACTATGAAGGTGTAGGTAACGAGAGACCAGATACTAAATTCGTTTTCGGTAAATCATCGAGCGAGTAATCGAGTTTAGAGAAAGATTGTGGGCGGTGCGCGCTCATCCCATATGTGAATACATCCTCTCAGTAAGCACTCTTATAAAATTGCTCGTTATAAAAAACAATTAATATAATATAAATCGGTTATTTTCCCGGAGGGAGGCTCGTACTGGGTTCAATTAATATTGCATGTTTTGTAGAACGTCAGAGAATGCGTGAAATACGTAATTATTTTTTCGTGTCAATTAGATTATTTTATTGCTTGAACTTAGAGTAGCTCTGTTTTACGTTAAACTTTATTCGCAACGACCGCGCTAATGTTTTAAAGGTCGATGCAATATAAGTAGCGTTATAATTGTACTAAAAATTAGCATGTAGTTAATACGTTATAGTGCTGGTTATGCTCTGTTTCTCTTAACTGTATGCTTCTTTGTTTGCAACAACTCATAGCGTTCGGATTTTGTAAGAGATCTATCAAAAGTTTTTTTACAACGCCGCAAATTCGAATTATGAATTTATTCAAATATATATATTACATATCATAATTCAATACTTATACTCGTAATTAAACTCATAATTCAAATTATGAATTTGTTATTATTAAAACTTCACAAATAAATCAATAAAAATCATTTTACGAAGAGCGTTCGAGCCGGATGCATGCAATTATTTTACAAACGTAACTTTCTCAAAGTTTTCCTTGCGTGTAAAAAATCTTGATGCTATTTTTTTCTCCGAGTGAAAATCATTGCGCTTTCCCTTAGTTAATTGAATATTTTAGCGTTACTCATTTATTGTAATTACATGTTGATGCAAGATAAACGTTGTTAGGGATCATGTAGTAGGTACGTGTAACTTGCATGCCTAGTGAAATTCTATTTGTAATGTTTCTGAATGTGATATTTCTCTGGTCTTCCCCAGCCTGCCAGGAGACAGGTAATCTCACTCTTGTTACTAACATAATGCTTCTTTATCTATTTTGGCTTTTCATTCTCATCTATTCGTTTTCTTTTGACGTTTGTGTTTTGTATTTCATTTGCTAGTTCATTAATTTGCGAGTTAAGCACACACATTTAATAAAGTATTCTTTGGTTTTAAATACTTCTTGTTGCGTTTGAATTTTGAATACACTTGACCCGATTATATCTTACTTTTAGTCACTTTAATATTACTTAATTTTGAATTACATATATCTTCACTTCGAAGTTATTATTTTCGGGTGAATGCACAGATTTACTGATTGATCGTGATGTATGCTGCAGAGGGTCGAGAGTGCGTCAACTGTGGGGCTACGAGCACTCCACTGTGGCGACGAGACGGCACCGGACACTACCTCTGCAACGCCTGCGGTCTCTACTACAAGATGAACGGACAAAACCGACCATTGATCAAGCCTAAACGAAGATTGGTGAGTGTAAGAATCCGACCAATTTTGTATTTGTGTTGTGATTTCAATGTTTGTAGTGGACGAATGAAAATCGTTGGAGACTATTTATTTAAAAAAAAGTTGTGTGGTGTCGTGGGACACCGGATAGGAACGAAGTTCCTTATTATAAAAATATTAATTTTAAGCTCTATTCGAGGTATAAAGACAATAAAATTGGAGGTTTCGCAACAACCCACGGTCATTCGGTAACGTGCGAACTTATTGTGGTACACTTCATTCACGGTTGTTTGCATAAGAGTTAGTGTATTGCGCAAACGAACGCTCTGAGATCGTGGTCAATGATTGATAAAAAAAATTGTTGTTTTTTGTACGTTATTACAAAGTTAAGTGCTACACTGTGTGCATAACTAATAAAAATCTTACGTTAGGGACGTTATTTCCCGGTTAGTGTACCCCTCCGCATCATCCCATAAGGAACTTCGTTCCAAAAATAGTTTAACTAACGCAAAAATTTGCAGACGATGCAATGTTATATTCAGTTCTTCGAATGATTATTCGTTTGCGTCACATCAAGGATTCCCGGAAGATACTCGTACGTTTTAAATATCGTGTCCTTTTTGTTTTTTGTTTTTTTTATTTTTGTTTGAGATAAAATTCCGTCGTCTACAAATATAGCATTCCGAGACAACCTCAGCGAGAATGGGTGTTGTTTACAGTTAACGGGGCAGCAATAAAAAGGCGGAGCATGCACGCCCGAGCACGACACCGCATTAAGCGCTCCCACAAATTGGGCTCTTATGAAAGTTGAATGTTTCGACGAATAGGCCGAAGTCCACTAAAGTAGCCTCTCCGCGAGACCGCTATAAATCTTCAAGTTAACGTTTAATCTAAGGTCGGGCGTACATAAAACTGAAACAATGCGACATTCGGTGACGTCACACGCGCCCGGCCACTCCGCTAACGAGTGGCCCGTGCGCGCAATTGTGCCCACAATTTACCTTAATACTCGTCTCACAGACATAAACTAGTGGAATTGCTCGGTATATTTGCCTTTTGTTAGTCAAATTATGTAATGTCCGGGCGTTATGGTTTCATTGTAGCGTTCGCTGGCACGGTCTAGCCTATGGCGGGCGGGCAGGGCGACGTAGCATTATTACACGCTTCGCTATTTATTACAACGTTTGTTGTGCACAAAATTCATAATTGGAGACATTTTGTAAAACAATTTAGCGTCGCAGCTACTTAACCCGCGTGATGGCCACGAGCCCGGATGTATGTAACGTTGTTTTAATATTTAAATTCAGTGTAGTGCGGAGAAGTACCGTTCGCGTTCCGCGGATAATATGGGATTCTCACTTTTATTTTCGCTGGGAACGCCGAAACAATGACCGGCGATGCTGACCAACGACCCAACGAGTCATTAATCCTTTTATGTGACCGTTTCTGGGCGACCTCTGGTTTTGCATACTCAACAAGCATGATCTTGTTTTGCTATACAAAAAAGATCCTTTGTTTTTTTTTTATCGCTTAGATTGGAGGACGAGCTCACAGCCCACCTGGTGTTAAGTGGTTACTGGAGCCCATAGACATCTACAACGTAAATGCTCCACACACCTTGAGATATAAGTTCTAAGGTCTCAAGTATAGTTACAACGGCTGCTTCACCCTTCAAACCGAAACGCATTACTGCTTCACGGCAGAAATAGGCAGGGTGGTGGTGGTACCTACCCGCGCGGACTCACAAGAGGTCCTACCACCGGTAAAGTATTTACGAAATGATTATTTTAGAGCATTATTAAGTTTTTGAGTCAAAAAAATGAAAAAAAGCAACTTCAAATTACCACAATTAGGCGTCTGTTACGAAACGACCTTGTTCGTAACCGTCTAATTAGACGATGCAACTAGTAGGTACATCAAAAACAATGAATTATAAAACCTCTATTCATAAAAGTCAGTTCGGCTTAGCTCGCGCACTTGACACGATTTAGAAAACCAAGTGGGAAATTTCATACAATACTCCGCCTCAAGGCAATAGACTAAATTATTCGGACAATCAGCCAACGTCATAAAATTAAAGGTAAGATGCTAATAAAATACTTCATTTAAATAAATTTCAATAAAATAATAATACTTCATTTTGAGCATGATTCTTCAAGTTTAATGAAAAAGATGAGGATAAGCGAAACTTTGGATAAGAGACATGAATTAAACTTCTAAATGTTCATAAACAAGAAAAGCAAGAAACCAAAAAATATAGTTCTAATTCTAATAAAATATAGTTCTAATATTAAACACACGCTTTAGCACTAGTAGTTATCAGTATTAAATCTACTGAACACACACACACTCATATCATATTCAACATACGACTAATCTTTGAAATTCAATTTGATTCAAATTACACTATCAATGCAATCCATAAAAAAATACAGATACTGAAGTAACGTGTGATCGAAGAAATGCCTTCGACAATTTGACGGTTCGCAGCGAAATAACAAAGTGAGAAACTAAAGTTGAGAGTGTACCATTATCGGCTATAAATAATACGCTACCTGTAGGAAAGTATTGCGATTCCAAGCTGCTTCTGTACGCTCGGGAGCTAAAGGATGAATCGATGTACTTGTGATTATACTTCGTTTGCCTTTTTCCTTTTATTTTGTTTGTAACTAGCGGCCCGCTCCGGCTCCGCTCGGGTCTTTAACAAAAATTTCAACGATGTTTGACGTTCTTGAATTTTTTTTAAATAAAAGAACACTTATTGCGGCGTAACTATAATAGTTAGACATATGTTATTGCAACACTTTTTGTAAATAATAATGTGTTCTACAAAATCGTACTACATTATTTTATTCTATCATCAATAGTTTTCGCAGGGCACGCGTTGTAAAGAATATTTTAGGTATTTTTTTTACACCTTGGGTTACATTATTAGAGTCTTAATAAGGATCCCTAATTTTTTCCAAATATTATAGCCTTCGTCACTCGGGAATAGTGTAGTTTCCAAACAGTGAAATAATTTTTCAAATCGGTTCAGTAGTTTCGGAGCCTATTCAATACAAACAAACAAACAAATCTTTCCTCTTTATATTTTATTTGTAATGTAACGATATCTTTCACGTTGAATTGTAACAGAACGAAATGGTATTTATATTTTATTGATTTAATATTTACGTAGGTCTTTTTAAAGTTCGTTTTTCAATGTGGTTAGTAATGTTATGTTAGTAATAGTTTTAAGTCTTAATTTTACACTAAAACGGCTGCCTCACAAAAGTGAAGTGCCGTGAAGCATTAATGTGTGAAAACATAGCGACACACATTAATGCTTCACGGCAGAAACAGGTAGGGTTCTAATAGCTATCAGTGCACCTTCACAAGATGCCCTACAACCAGTAAGATGCTCTACCACCAGCAGAAGCCACCAGAGAAGGTACAAGACCTTCTCTTTGTTGTTCCTTAGACATGCATAGTCTGTTGAAACGAGAAAACTGGGTGACTTATCCTTTAGGCCAAGTCGACTTCAAAGTTATTCGAATAAATCTCATCCTAAAAATGGTCGCATAGTTATCTCTAAATCTATAATGCATTAGAATAAATTAAAATCAAAGGTATTCAATACAAAACTTGAAATAATGAATTGTATATTAATTTTTACTTTATGTAACCAGTGTTCAGATTTATGCTGCTTCTTCACAAGGCGTAGTGCATTCGCATAGTTTTATCGTTGTATTTGGATTAAACATTTGCACAAATCGCAAAAACACCACATTGAAATACGAATAAAACCAAACCAGAAAAACTAAATGTTTGGTCACAGTGTACAGTCACATTCACAAGTCAATGCACGACTCCAATGACGGACTTTTTGACCAGTTTAGCAGACTGACGGATAGCAACTCATTTTCACCTAAACCAATACATGTTATCTTAAATCCTCTTAAATACAAGACTATGGCAATACGCGCTGGGAGATGTTCATAATGTTTACGGAAATAACTAGCTCTATGATTAGAACTCTTTGTATGTTATCAGTGTATAGAATTATGCACTACTACTGAGCATAATATGTACAATAATTCATGCCCTCATCCGTTGATTTTTATTAAAAACCAAAAGTGGACAAACGTTTTTCTATTTTCATTATTTGTCATGTTTCTATACAAAGGCTATTTAGACGTACATATTCACCAAAAACATAGAGGTTTTCGTGCAAATAGGTACCTACTGTTAATAGGCTTTCTACTGGTGGTAGGAACTCTTGTGAGTCCGCGCGGGCAGGTACCACCGCCCTGCCTATTTCTGCCGTGAAGCAGTAATGCGTTTCGGTTTGAAGGGTGGGGCAGCCGTTGTAACTATACCTGAGACCTTAGAACTTATGTCTCAAGGTGGGTGGCGCATTTACGTGGTAGATGTCTATGGGCTCCGGTAACCACTTAACACCAGGTGGGCTGTGAGCTGGTTCACCCATCTAAGCAATAAAAAAAAAGGCAATTGTGCGAAGTGAAATGACAGCCTCACATTCCCGGCTAATAGGCAAGTGTGCCCCAATGACAGCCTCTCTCATGCCAGCCTCATTCTCGATGAACATAAACCGGTGATCAGCGTCCGTAAACACTTCAACTTTGATGCCAATAAATAAACTGAAAATAAAGTGGATACCTATCGTCATTTTAGCTTTCGACTGTACTATTCAATTATTCTGTAACTTTATTACACACTTAAAATACATCCCATTCATCAATTTGATTTTATTACACAATAATTCACCGTGACAACATATCCGTAACACACGACCATTGAGCATGTAATACATACATTATTTAAATTTGAAACAATGTCGCGGAAACATACGGTCATAGAACTTTCCTATTTGGCATTCACGTGCTGAACTAGTGCCAAATAAACTATCACAATAAGAATTCTATGGCCATAAATATGGGGGCATCGGAATCGGTCCCACACTGTCTGACTGATCTATAATCGCTATGATGTCATAAATTACAGGCTGTTTATAGCCTACATGGCTATTC